CAGTGCAAAAATTTTTTAGACAATGAATACATGATTATTATTATTGTCAGGCAATCATATTAAGCCAATAAAAAAGTTCACTGAAGATACACCGGACTTACCCTTTAAAAGTTCACCCTTGGCCTGTTCTTGTTTAAATGCAATTCAACAAAATCTTGGTCTTCCAGAACATTGTTTCCAACAAGATGAACCCACACGCTGGAACTCTTTTCTGTATATGCTCCAAAAGATCAAAGAACAAAAAAATGGCTTTAGCAGCATATACATCAGAGTATGATATCTCACAACTGACAGCTCACCAACTAGATCTTGTTAACAAGCTAATATCTGCTCTTTCTCCAATTGAGGAACTAACTAATTATATTTCAACAAACACAGCATCAGTATCTCTAATCATACCCTTTATCAGAATTTTTCGGAAAAACCTACAGAACCATGATAATGTTAGTGGGATACACACAATAAAGATGGAGATGTTAAAATCCTTAAATAAAAGATATACTGTAGTTGAAAATAGTATTCGTCTTGTTATAGCCACTTACTTAGATGCAAGATTTAAAGACAAATTTTTAGTGGCAGTATTAAAAGATCTGCTGCCAAACAATTTTTAGAAGAGAAAGTGGCTGAATTATCTCAAAGTACTAAAAGCAGTGTTACTGTATTGAAGCTATTCAAGAGCCATCTTCAAAATGTCCAAGGACTGATGTCTTAGACACACTATCAGAGATTTTAGATGAAGTTGGAGCTACAATTGAGTCAGATTCTCAATCTGAAGTAGGGAAATATTTGTCTGAGCCTCTCATCCCATTTCATCAGGGTAATACGTACCTGTGGTGGTATTACAACCAAGATAGATATCCTCTTCTAACCCAGTTGGCAAGGCATTACCTTTCAGCACCACTGACATTTATTTCCTGTATCAGGTGACATATATGATGAGAAACGGAACGGGCTTGCTCCTGAGAAAGCTGAAGTATTGATGTTTATTAAGTGAGACTTTCATCTTATTAATGGAAATTACAGTTCTAGTTTTTGGTTTTATTGTTTTTCTTTTTTTGATAAAACAAATTGAAACTATATCATACAGTAATATCGGATCGGCTATTTGCATTGGCAGATACTGATAACTGATTACCAGCTATCAGTATATCGGCAAATGAAGCCTATTCGTGCAACACTAGATTGGTACACAACACTAAATCCTTTATTCTCATGCCTTGTTATGTAATAGCACAAATTTTAAAATTGGGATCATTAGCTTGCATTATTATAAGCATGCAACTGCAAGAAAAATCATGATACCACACTTTGGTGAATTTTTTTGTTAGCTATTCTGAGCCTTTTTTGCAGTTGCATGCTTAGAATAGGCCATGCAGCTAATGATTACAATTTTAAAATTTGTGCTATTACATTACAAGGCATGAGAATAAAGTATCATTTCCCCCTATAAAGGAATGGAGTTATCTGCTTTTGATCCTACTATGACGTCACGTTTGGCCACACCCACTGACAGGAAGTAACATTGCAGGAAGCAAAGTGTCAAAATATTCTTGACTTTGTAGGCTCATATATCTCAGTTAATAATTATTTTTAGACAGTGGGATAATTATCCACTCTTGTTATTATGGTTAGGTAATCATATTAAGACCATAAAATAAAAATGTTAAATTTGGGTAAATTAGATACTCTTTAAATGTCGATGTTTTCATTGCATTGTATAAGCATCAATTCCTTTAATAGTGTATCTTTCAAAATGCACTCCACTCGAGCAGATGTACATGTACATGTATTGACAAAAAATTAATGAGATTTTGAGCTCATGTACGTACATGTAATTACCAAATTAGTACAATTGTACATTTTGTTTACTATTTGTACTAATTATAATTAGTTATAAATAGAGATATACCGATAATCGGATCGGCGTATCGGATATTTGCTTATCAGCCTGTTTTTATAGTATCAGTTATCAGTTTCTTTGCATGCAGATATAGCTACACATCAATGGTCATATGCATGAGAATAAAGAGTTAATTAATTATTTTTAAGATATTATGAGCATAAAAATATCAAAATGATTCTATAACTGGGACTACTTAAAAATTAGTCAAGGTACTAAATTAGGAAGTGTATAAATCACATTGTACATCTGTAAATCTGTGCCTAAAAGGTAGGAAGTAAAGTATCAGATTGGTATTGGTATCGGCCAGTATTGGCTATGTTGCATGTATATTGGAATATCAGCTAAAACCCATATCGGTACATCTCTAGTTATAAATAACAGTACTAAAATGGACACCGACATGTCCTTAACTTGCAGTTATTCGATGCTGAATAGACCACAAAATCTGTCATTTTCTGATGTGCATTAATTGGAAAGCCTATTGCATGGGGCATGCTTTTTGTTGGAGCTTAATTTGTACTTGTACAGTACATGTGTATGGACAAAAATGGTGTCTGTTATATAGAATAGAGAGGTTCTTTTACACTACACATTATTTCAGAAAGGTTTGACTGTAGTTAAATGACAGTAATAATTCATGTAGTTCTTGACTGTGACTTAATTTTCTTTACATTGTATTTTTATTTATTGCTTTTTTACCAATAAATAAATCTTTTAATTTTTACATGTGTAGGTTGTTTTTGATGGTTTGTTTGGTGACATTTCTAATGCTAAACTACAACTACTCTCAATGGAATTTATCCTGTCTATTATTAATAAGTATGTTGACTGACCTCTAAATTGTATTTTAATACCTCCATTAATATTAACCCTTGCAAATTTAACTTCATTACCGTATAAGATGATTTGTTGGCGGGAGTTTTTTTGGCGGTTTTGTGATGGCTAGCTTATTGGCAGATTTAATATTGGCGGTTTCCGACAATTTAATTATATCCCCACCCTTAGGCAGAGTTTTACTTAAGCGGTTGTGGTTCGTGGAGAACATTATCGAGAAAGACTGTACCTTTTCTGGAAGATTGTATTCTTTATCACCTGGTTTAGACACTGGCTTAAAGAAACATAGTAAAGCCATGTTAGCTAGCTGCTTTTAACCATGCTTTTAACTAAAATTAATGAGGGTGTGGTCACACGCATGAATGGAATTATTTCTTGCGGATTTTATTTTGGCGTTTTTATATAAATCCATCGATCCGCCAATATTAAATCCTTGTCAACATTTCATTTTATACGGTAGTTCTTGTTACAGTAAATTTACTTATGTATATGTACATTAAGTGTCCTATAAATGGCTAATTAGCTGCAATATTGAATATAAATTGATAATGTACATTTACATGTAGCCAAAATGAGAGTTCATTTGAATGCAACTGGGCTTTAAATTATAAAAGTTTCTTTAAGGTACATGTACTAGGTACATGTTCATACAAATGTACTGTATTTGCTCGATTAAATGCCCTGGTGTTTATTTCTTAACAGGAAAAAAATCAGGTAAAAAAAACAAGAAAGCCTATAGTGGATTAGAACCCACAACCTTCAAGCATTCCAAACATGTACTCCAACAGTTAGGCTATCCGGCACAATCTAAATCCTAAGGCACATATACTGGGTAAAATATGCGTATCTATAGTTAGAAAATATTTAGCTTGGGCGTTTATTTAAGCAGGGCATTTATTCGAGCAAATACGGTGCATGCATGTATAATGTATGTATGTACATATACTCTATTTGTAGTGTCTGTTACGTATCCATTTAAAAAAATTATATGAATGTATGCATGCTACATGTACATGTACATGTACATGTACATAGTCATTTTATTGCCTTTTAAAGTGACTTTCCTACTTTTTCCCTTCATCTCTCTCCCTCCATTTTATGATGCCAGGTGTTTATCAACAAGGCTCACAGTAATGGCTCCATTATTGTTAACTGCATTATACAAGATTATTGATAACAATGACTTAAAGGTATAATAATATTACCCTAGAAGAATGTAAAACATTAAATAGCTTTGCCTCCTAGCCGCACAATCACCACAAAGATTGCATGTATATGTAGATGTACTGTACATTGTAGGTTAAATACATGTAGTTAGATTAATGGTTTGTCCATACAGATGTACTTCATTTCGAAGGACTTCTCCCATAAATAAATATAGCTAGACTATACAAGTACATGTATGTATGTTGTACATGTATTTGGGCAAAGCCCACTAAGATGAGTAGAGTTTATTTATTTGTATGTCTGTATACACGTACATGTTCCTTGTCTCCTCTGCCAAGGGACCTGCAACTAAGAAAAATCTCATACACTTCCTAAATAATCCAAAAAATCCACTAGAAAATCCAATAATCCTACAAAAAAATCTAATAATTTGCAAAAATCCAGCAATAGTACAGATAATCCAAGTGATAGTTCACAAATAATCCAAAATCCAAGCAATATTCCAGTTAGAATATCCAGAAATTTACTGACAGTTGTTTATTGACTATAATTAATAGTTAGTTGAAATAAATAATGGTTAATTAACTTTAATAACATGGTGGCTGCTAGTTATTAAGTGCAATAACTATTAACAAGAGTGGATAATTATTTAGGGAGAGTGTCTAACGTGCCTATAATCTGTGATACCACAGTGCGTATGTTTACATAGCAATGATAGCATGGTGATTAGCACCAAGTAGGCATTCTTGCGTCCTTATATTCCTTCCAAGTCAGAAAGCTGCAAATAATAAATAGCCAACCATTAGAAGAACATATTCCTGTGTGCTCCTCCTTGTTTCTCGCACTACATGATCCTCAGAGTGGAGATATACATGTAAGTCTTAAAGTTGCCTGCATGCTTCAAGCGCCATTTTATTAACCACACCCATAATTTTGAAGATTACTGGAATTATCTCCGTATACTTGCAAAAAACGGATGTAAACATACGCGCTGTGGTATCACAGAATATAGGCAGGTTAGTTCACTCTCCCTAAATAATTATCCACTCTTCCTATTAATAATAATCCAATAATCCATAAAGCAATCCAATAATCCATAAAGCAATCCAATAATCCACTAAAATCTTGGTGGATTTTTAATCTTATATACTTTTGGAGACAGTTGCGGACTCCTCGATATCTGCACGTGCCTATTGCCTAGCAATGCACTAAATTCTAAATTTCAATATTTCATTGAAAGTAGGAGTTGCTGAAAGAAAGTAAAATGGCAATCAGCACACAGAAATTAGAAGTCATAATTTCCTACTTGCTACCAACAAGATAAGGCAAACACACCATCCAAGGACTTATAAGATAGATGATACATGTAACATGATACATAGCATAGGCGGCGGAACATAATTTTTTTTGAGGGCTGAACATCAGTTAAGTTATTGTTGGATTTTGAGTGGCTTTCTTTGCCTTTTTCTCTAAATAAAACGAAGAAATGATGACTGCAGGTCTAGTTGTACTGGTATAAGTTAGTTTTATTCAAAGTTGCAGGGGCTGTGCCTCTTCTGTTTTAAGATTAGGGGGTTATGAAAGAAAAACAAATACATGTATGTCGCCTTTGTCACTGACAGCCTTTTTTATCTCATGGCTATTTAAAAGTCAGTGTAGCAAGGCTTAGATCAACAAACAAGTCAGGATTCTTCTAGCAGTAACATAAGGTAGAGAATCTGCTTGTTCAGCAGCTACTAATCTACGTAGCTGAGCCCTTTAATTTTTACATTGTTTATAGTATTATAATTATTATCATTTTAGGATAATAAATTAATTGTGAGTGCATTCAGTGGATTGAGTTGTTTATCTAAGTAAGAAGATGCAGTACATGTACATGTATTATACACTAACCTCATGCTGCATACATTGTATTGTTTTTATTTCTAACATCCCCTATCATATGTAACATAATTATTTATACATCACTGTCATTCTCTCTCTTTTACTCTACTTGTAAATTATGCACACTTACATTTACTGTTGGATACTTTTTTTGAGAGCTTTAAATTTTCTGGATTTTGCAATTTTTTTAAGAGTTGCGAAAATCAAATTAATATGGTATAAGATGCCACATGGTGTAAATTCACAAAAATTAAATCTGCAAAATAAAAATCCACAAAATTTACAGCCCTTGAAAAAATGTGCCGTACGGCAATTATCTTTTTTTTTCTTTTATTCATTAGAAAGGCTCCTCATATTTTGAGAAAAGATGCCAAGCATTTGTATAGACTTTTTGAAGAGTTGGAGAAAGTAAGCTAACTGACATTTATTCATTTATTTATTATTTTGTTTAAAAGGAGACCAATAAGGATAATAGACTAGTAATACAAGAGTGTATTAATAGTGTCAGTGGTGTGTATGTTAATGAAACTAATGAGAAAAATGTAACATTGTTGGAGTCAATATTGCTGACGCATATTAATAGAGTAAGAAATACGTAATTATTGTACATGTGTAGTCATATTTTCTGTTTTCATCGGTCTCTCCTCCAGAAATTGGTTCAATCTAGGAAAGCAGCAGCTTTCTGTGCTCATTCATTGTTTCCATTTTCTCACTTTCCTTCTCGTTATGTTAGTTTAATTGCTTGTGGTGATTCACAGCTGGAGGTCAGAGAAGAAGGTCTTAATGGACTTCGCCCAAGACAGCTTGAATCTAATCCGCAGTTTCCTCCATTTGCTAATGTTATACAATACATTAGTTCAAGGGTAATGATGCAGTGTGTGTGTGTTTGTGTCTTGTATGTAGTCTTTATTAAAGCCTAGCTGTCTCATGGAGAAATATGCCTACATGTATGTCAAGTGTAGGGAAACCCTCAAATAGAAGCCTTCATGTACTTGTATGCGTAGAAAATATAAGCTTGGCTCTTTATTTAACATTTTGAAACACATTTTGTGTAACTAAATTACTGAAATTGCTGTGCTTATACATGTACATGTAACTATAATACCTAACTGTACTTGGACAATGTTATACTGTAGGTTGATTCAATACTGTCCAGTGATCAATGTTATGTGATTGGCAGTACCAAACTACCTTATACTCCACTAGCTATGAAGCACATCCTATTGTTCTGCTATCATTCTCTCCTGTATTCATGTGGACACGATGGATGGACAGTAACTGATATTTGTAATATTGATATAACACAGCCCATTGATAAGGAGGCTATGAGGAAGGTATCTGATTTCTTATCAATTATGGAATTTTTGAAAAATGATGTTCTACAAAAATATTTGGAATTAATAAGAATGTCATTGCTGCCACAATCAGGTATAATATGCATATATTACTTGTAGAAAACAAATTAACACAGCATAGTACATGTCAAATAAAGACACAAAAAAGTAGTAACAATTTCATGCACAACAAATAAAAATACAATGTACATAATGTATGTTTAAGAATACATGGACATACATGTATGTATTTAGATAAATAAAAAACATTAAAAATGGAAAAATAATAGGATTGAATTGAAAAAAGTAAGGTTACAAGAGAGTACTTGCAAATTGGAGTGGTAAGAAATCCTACACCACTGCATGAAGACTGTTACCCAAAAGCACAGCAGTTATCCTCACAGCCAACTATGATAGCACTATGAAGCCTTTATTTTTCATGCAGTGGTGTAGGATGTCTTACCACACCACTTTGCAAGTACCCTCTTGTTTCCTTACTTTTTCCCAATTCAATCCTACTATTTTTCCATTTTTAATGTTCTTTATTTACTTGTTTCTATTCTTTTTTCTTAATGTAATAAATTACATTCTGTTATGATTGTGTGGTTAGGTGAATTATATTCATGCTGATCACATACGCATAAATGAAAATGGCGTCAAACCACAAATCCACACAGTGTCTGCACTCTGCAGCTGGATTTTGTCTTCCTTTTTTCTTCTTTTTGAAACTATACCTTTGTAGTCCTTGACCCAAGCACAAAGGACCAATGTAAAAGCGAACTTGAGCAGTTCTCTGGCTTAAAAGATTATTGTGGAGATAGAAGAAAGATTGAAAGAAGAAGAAAAAGTCTGAAAAATTTTTGCAGAAATTTGAATTTGGGCCTGTTCTCCACAAATGCTCCTGCTACATTACAGTCCACTTTAAAGGTACCAGGAGAATCACTCGGTGAAGGAGAGCTCATCTGAATCATTTATAAGGCTGTACAACGCAAGATAAAAGATCTAATTATAAGTGCTTTAAAATCATAAAAACAGCCGTCATCTTGAACAATCAACCTCAATCCTACATATAGGCTACCGCCTATGTAATATTATACACATACATGTATGTACATACAGTACATATATAGAAGGGAGAAAAAGATTGAGTTGATGAGACACATGCCCTTCAGCAAGAGCAAGGTCCATGCAGAGAGTTAAGAGTGCATGGGCTTGTCATATAATGACCTGGCGCCTCTCAGGTACACAATAGAAGATCTTAGAAGTGAGAATGATAAATGGCATCGGATCTAACAGAGAACATTATTATATGATTTTTGACATTTATCCGAGAGAAGTGAGGCAAGTCTTTTATAAAAAATGTTGGCAATAGGACCAATGCCGCTGGAAGTGGAGAATATTAATGGGGTGAATGAACCATAGCAGATTCTCTTTTTGTAATGTCTTTTCTCCATCTCGTATGACCTATGGCATGTCTTCAAAGTAGATTTGTTGTAGGAAGCTGCATGTTCTTTATGTCCGAAAGTTTTTACTGTAACTTAGTTTTACAAGATAAAGAATTTGCAATAATTGGATCACTCATATAATTGTGACTGTTGTTTTATTGTTATATCTACAGATTATGATGTTGCTACTGTTGGTATATATTCACTATTGCAGTTAATTCTATTATCTGAGCCAATTGCAGAAACTTTTATGAAAGACATCAAAAACATCAAAGTACAAATGTTTACTGATAATATTTTTATTAATTTTATTATTAGCAATTGGCTAGTTATCCAAGGTCAAACACTAAGCAAGGAGCTGCTCGAATAATTGGATATTTGTCATCTAAAATGGAGTATAATGAGTTATTAATATTAATACAGGATAGCCTGGATGACACGCAATTTCCTGTTAGCAATAAATGTACATTGTACTTGTATGTACATTGTACTTGTATGTACATTGTACATATGCATACATGTACATGTACAACATTTTGTACAAATCTTTTATGATGACAAATTTTGTAGACTTCATTTAAATATTTTTTAAATTAATATATAATATACATGTATGTACATTTATTTGACTGAGTAATAAAAATTTGTGTCTAAAAACACCCCCGTTTTGGCTTAGTGTTTCAACCCCTGTGTACATGTACATGGGGCAGTATGCTTTGTACATGTATGTGTATTTTATCTCCACAACTGCACTTGGCATTCAGTCTTCTTTGCAGGCCATGCACCTTGTTTAAATAACTACATGTACTTGTACTTATGAATCTAGTATGTTAGTAAATTGATTTTATGATTATTATGTCTGTAAATGTGTATATTACCATTAGCAATTATACTTACAAATAAATTATTTTTTTATTAATAGTTGTATGTACAACAGCAGAAAGGTATCATTGTACTAGGTCAAGTTTGTGCATCAAGTTTGAAAAGACTCTCAACATTACCAAGCAATTTCATTATTATTATTGAAAAAATAATATCTAAAATATGTAAGTCATTTTTTTCTGCTTTTTTTGTTTTCTGTTACAACCCATAGTTACAATATAGGGATACATGTACATTGTGATACATTGCAGGTCGAAATTAATGTACAAAATAATGTTGATATTGGTAAAATAGAATTAACATGTACATGTAATTTGTGATTAATTTAATTGGGTTAAAGCATACATGTATGCATGTAATAAAGTCTAATGGTGTGACATCAATGATTATTTACTGATTGCCACTTAGTATGAGCTCCTCTGAGACAGCTAGAGGATTGTGGCCTGAATGATGGCCAATAGTATCTTTATTTGTAACGATCCAGTTATTTGTAGTACTTTAACCTTTATGCTAAGTGAGAGAAAGGTGGTCTGCAAGGCACAGAATTATTGTTCACGTTATTAATTGCTACTGTCATTGTTATTATTGTTATTATTTTATTGTGTAGTGTCATTTTTTAACAGTCTTGATTCTGATATTATCTTCACTGCCATTGACTCTATTGGAGAGATAGTTAGGTCGGGACCATTGCCTTTTCCTGACTCAGTATCAGAATTGGAATTGGAATCAAATTCAAAATCAGACTTAGTATCAGATATCAAAGTGTCATTGACTAAAGAGTTTATCTTTGATAAAGTTGTTGAAAGAATGGAAGACAGTGTTGATGAAAATACTGTGGTAACGTTTATGACATACATGTAATTACTGTACTTATACCATACATGTATATCTGGTAATTTTTGTCAGTATTTAATTTTCAATATTTAATTTTTAATGGCTTAATGCAAGATTGAAGTTCATGAAATGTTACTTATTTGTAAGTTTTGTGTCCCATTTTTTTTGAAATACCACTTATCCTGTCAAGATACATGTATATCACTATCATCATAAAATGGCTCTACTTTTTTAAAGTATTTCTCTCATACAGATGACAGAAAGTCTAATCAGTATGGTACCTTCTCAAACAAAAGTTCTTCTGTAGGATACGATATTAATTTTCGAACAAGAATCACTTTGCAATTGTAAAAATACATTAATTTTTCTGTCTGTAAATTTTCTCAATTACCAGATATACGGTATATTAAATAAAAAATAAATTTAGTGGTTGCAGGAATTTTGTACTTTAACATTTGTACATACATGTAAATGTCTCGTCTTGCTGAATGAATAAATTAGCTTGTTTCATGAAATTTGATCCACAGGTGCCTAGTTTGAAACATTTCCTTAAGTATTTGTCCATGAAATGTAAATGTACATTATACACGTACATGTGTAAGTGATATCTTAGTATTTATGAAGCAATAGACTGTATAGAGATTTACCTGTACGTCTCTCCTTCTTTTTTGTTATTTATGATATTGTTTCTTCTACTCTCTTGTCTCTATTTCTCTTACTTGTCTTCTGCACTCTATTTTCTGTTGTGTTTCTTGTATATTCATGTACAATGTAGTTACGGGACAAATGTTCGCATACAATTGGTTTTTTCTCATTGGGTGATCCTTCATTTCCATACAAGGATAAAGCTCTGAAGACCTTAATACAGTACAGGGAGCAGTCACATGTTGATGTCAGTTTCTCAATTGGTGAAGGACTCTCATGTATTGCAGCTGGAGTTTATTGTGAATTGTATCGCAATCCTTGGGATTACAGACCTTCTCCTTTATCCCTCCCTCTCCCTACGCCCTCTGATGACATATTTAATAAAACTATAAATATTGTCATCGATGAATATGGGTATAATTCATCACCAAGAGTAAGACAGGTACAGTACATAATGATTGTACATAGCATAATCTGCAGTGCTTAATGAATTAATGTGTTTGTTCAGTTATTATCAATAGTGTTTTAGCTAGTAATTTGGAGTGTTTAAATTGTGTGAATTAACTCTAAAAGAGGTTTCAGTATCAAAATTTTCATGCTGCTACAGAGCCCCATCAAATTAGAAACTAGCAAGTTTTTGCTTTGTCAAATTCACCAAAATTTAACCATAACAACTTTACTAGCATCATATTATAAATGAATATGTATGGTACTGGACATGTGTTGCATTAACTTTAAATGTACTTATAGCTGATAAATTTTTATTAGGCTGCTTGTATTTGGACGCTATCATTATTGAAGTATTGTAAATCTTATCCATCATTTCAGGTAATAATACAATTCATTGTAATTATTGGGGCGAGCCTCAGCGAGCCCCATATAGACAATACGAGTATGTCTGTCCGTTTGTACACATGCATACGTCATCCCTATTTATGCATATGAAAAATTTTCCACTTTTTAATAACCTATTTTATTGAAAACTTGTGTTGTCACAGTGAACTAAAATGGCGGCTATCAAGTGGGAAATTTCTCTTGAGCTTGGGCCGTGTTAGATGAACAAACTGTCAGTAAGATAGACAGTAAACTCATGTCCAAAGACTTTCTAGCAACAAAAGGTTGGAAAGGTAGATTTACAGTATTATTGCCCTTGATATAAAAGAATGAAAAATGTAATGAAAAAACTTGCATGTTGCTCTGCTATGCGGTGTCATTTCTTCTTCTCTAGCGCAGATGTACGGTCTTCTTCATAGTTTGATTTGTTCAGTGACTGCTTCTGACATACTTTAGTGCTATCAGCAAGATAACTTTAATTGCTTTAATTGAGATACTTTTGCATTTTAACTACATGTACTTCAGATCCAGCTACTGTAGTTACTACTTTGCAGCTTGCTCATAGATCAAGATCATGCATCATTATTATGGCTTGCTGAGGCTCCTTTAAATGTTTTACGTTCTTCTAGTTTGTTATTGTCATTTTTTTATATTATTGTTATACTCATATATTAGGAGCAGTTACCAAGATTTCAACATGTATTTTTGAGTTATTTATCTGAAACTAACGGTCAGTGTAGTACTTCTGCTATGAAAGAAGAAGGAAATAGATATGTGTATAATGTTATTTTTGTATATGTGCATTGTAGATGTATTACAGGAAGTTGCTTCAAGAGGACTAGGTCTATTGTATGAATTTTCTGATGCACAACGTAAAGAACAATTATTGCAATATCTTGTTAATACACTGATGGAAGGGAAAGGGTCAGTTCTGTGCAGCTAGAAATTTTGCAAAAAAATAAAAAATAAAGTTTTGCAAGTTTGTAAATTCATTAAAAAGAATTTTCTACCCCACTAAAATTATACCATATAGCTTGAAATTTTCATGGTTTTTGTGGTTGTGGGGCTTCCCACAAAATTTAGATGCAGAAAATCATTGAATTGCCATCCCCTTACAGGCTATGTAAACTGTCAACCACGAAAATTAAACCATGAGTTGCCCCACTAGGAGCAAACCATGAAAATATATACCCACGAAAATTTCAAGCTATACAGTAACTAACAAAACCACAAAATTTTAATCCACAAATTAAAATTTTTTTTTCAAGGATTTGTAGAATTTTTTGTGTCAAATATTAATAATCATTGTTAGTATCTTTACCGTATATTCATTTTTTGTGATTAGAATGAATGTTCCAGTTAGTGGTGATACTGAAATATTTTCACCTTCAATGAAATTAGGAAAGACACCAGAAGGGTAAGAGTATAAAAGTAACCTTATGACCATGATATTGCAGATTTTAAAGACATGTACACGTACTGTAGGTACTGTAAGATCAAAGTGATCAATAGGTGTACACGTAACCACAGGTACATGTATATGTAGTTCACAATAAAGATAATGAGATAGTACCATTGTAGCTTGAAAGTATTAGCATGTTGACCTTTAACCCTCGATGTCTGCCCTTGGTTTTGCATCAAGGAAATATCTCTAGGCTTGGGTCTTTCATTATACTGATGCTCACCTCAAAACCGTGGTTTACAAATAAATAAAAAACATTAAAAATGGAAAAGTAGTAGGATTAAATTGGAAAAAAGTAAAAAAACAAGAGGGTACTTGCAAACTGGTGATGTAAGAAATCCTACACCACTGCATGAAGAATATTACCCAAAAGCATTGTATTTGCAGAGTACCTGATAGATACTGAACTATACATGAAGCCATGTCTTTCATGCAATGGTGTAGGATTTCTTACATCACCAGTTTTCAAGTACCCTCTTGTTTTTTTTTTCCAATTTAATCCTACTACTTTTTCATTTTTAATGTTTTTTATTTACTTGTTTCCATTCTTTTTTCTTAAATTTATTATTACATTCTGTTATGATTGTGTGGTTAGGTTAATCATTTCATGCTGATCACGTATGCATAAATTAAAATGGCGTCAAACCACAAACCCACACAGTGTCTGCAGCTGGATTTTGGCTTCCATTTTGTTCTCTGTCCTTGCTTCTTTTTGAAACTACTTGTCCAGTCCTTGACCCAAGCACAAAGGAATGATGTAAAAGCCAACTCGAGCGGTTCCCTGGTTTAAAAGATTTCCGTGTTGATAGAAGAAAGATGAAAGAAAGAAGAAGAAAAAGTCTGAAGAATTTTGTAGAAATTTGAATTTGGGCCTGTTCTCCAGAAATGCTCCCGCTATATTACAGTCCACTTTAAAGATACCAGGAGAATTGCTCAGTGAAGGAGAGCTCATCAAAGCCATTTATAAGGCTGTACAACATAAGATAAAAGAGTTTTAAGTGTTTGAAAATCATAAAAACGGCCGCTATCTTGAAAAACCAACCTCAACCTACATATAGGCTACCGCCTATATAATAAGTACAATATAGTTACTGTAAGATCAAAGGTGCCCAAAGTTTTACATGACTGCATGATATACACCTGAAAGATTTAAGGCAAGTACATGTATATACAATTATGCAAGAGTGGATAAATAATTATCCACTCTTGATTTATGATATAGAAGATCAAGTATATGATATTCACAAAGTAGTATACAATGGCTGCCTGAAGGAAAATCCTTGTCTCCTGAAGGTCTTACACAGAAGAAGAGAATTGTCTTCTTTTTTTAACCATTGTTTAATCATTTGCTAGCACTTTTGCTAGCAATCAGACATGGGGTAATAGTAATAGATAATAGTAATAGTAATAGTAAAGATTACATGTTTTAAAGTAATTGTAATAGTAATAGTAATGGAGGAATCAAAAAACCAAGTAATAGTAATTGTAATAGTAGGAGATAGTTAAGTAATAGTAATATAATAGTAATCGTACATATTGTAATACATTATTGTACAAGTATTCAATGTACATGTACAGGTACATGTATGTGCATTCAAGTCTGTCTGCTCTGACAAAAGCTTCATCTGCTCCAATGGAACGATTATTCAGTATGGGAGGGAAATTTTTTAGACCGGAACAATGCAGACTTTCTCATACTGTTTTTGAGAAACTTATAAGTGTAAAGTGTAATGGTCATTTGCTTTAAAGAGAATTGATTTGAAATTATAATGTAATCGTAATATAATTAGATTACATTTAGTCATGCATATGCAGTAATAGTAATAGTAATAATGAAATTAGTGAAGTAATAGTAATAGTAATATATTACATTTACATCTACTAAACATGTAATTGTAATAGTAATAGAATTTTTTTCTAGTTAATAGTAATAGTAATATATTACTTTCTAATGTAATTGACCCCATGTCTGCTAGCAATTGGGCCCAAAACAACTTCGTTTCATGTAGATTTGTTGTGGCTGTGTCTTATATCAATACACCCCGCAAAACCATAGTTTGTAATACACAGTACATGTACATGTACATCAAACTTTAATGCACTTTACTGTGTTTATTTTCACTACTTGTACATGTACCTGCATTTTGTGCCCACTACACATAAATGTACAATTGTACATACATGTACATTTATTTACATGTAGGTCTGGTTTATCAACATATAAGGAATTATGTTCATTGGCTAGTGATCTGAATAAACCCGATCTCGTTTATAAATTTATGAGTTTAGCCAATCATCACGCTATATGGAACTCAAAAAAGGTAATTACATGTACATGTAATAGCACCCTATTTTAAATTTAGTAAATTTTACCTCAAGGTGGATGATGACAATTTTCTCTTGTAAAGTTTTAAAGTTGCTCAAAAATTGGGCCAAAGTCCCTAATCAACATGTACATGTATATGTAGTACAGAGTTTGTTGGTCAAACTGTGTTAAAATTTACCAGGGGGAAAATTATTTTTTTATATATACGTATTTTAGTTGCTCAAAATTGAACCAGTCTCTGTTGCTGAAACTTTATTGAAAATAGCTGTAATGATGCCCTTTTTATTACATTTTCTAATTCACATACGACTTATGTCGTGTTGAAAGTTTAAGCTGATTTCAGAATTATTGAACTTTACATTTGAATGATTTGATCGAAATTTAAGACATGCCTAACTCTCTGCACTATTGTACAAGTCTTTGGCAAAACTTCATCAGCAATATACACATGTACATGTATGTTGTTTAGAAAGTTTGAGCTAATTCCAATCAAGATTAAAATTTTTATGAATTTTTGACATTGCTCCAGCTAAAAATTAAAGACTCTGTCATATTTGTTATACTTTTAATTACTTTATTATTACTTAATAGGGTGCTGCATTTAGTGTGTCCAGTATAGTGCGAGAAGCAAGGGACCAGTTAAAGCCTTACTTGAATATATTAGTACCTCGTTTATTTATTTATAAGTATGACCCAATTACATCAGTTCAAGTGGCTATGAGCAACATATGGAAAATTATATCATTTGATAATAATAAAATTGTGAGATAATAATAATCATTTACATGCATGTATACTGTACATTATGTGTAATAATAGATTGATGAATATTATGAAGAAATACTGAAAGAAATTTGTAGTAATGTTAATAGCAGTCAGTGGAGGAATAGAGAATCAAGGTGTTGTCATTGTTTTTTATTTAATTATTGTTATTGGTGTTTTAGCTGTTCAGGATTAAGAGATTTTTTAAGTGTCAATATTAAAGAATCTGTAATCATTGAATACTTATCTGAACTGTGGAAATTATTGTTGAAAGTATTAGATGACATTAAAGTTAGTAATAATAGTAATTAACATATATGTATATCAGAAGTTGAAGCAGTTTCTGGAATCCTGCATTTCTAAAAATTAAAAAACTTTTTGATTACCCTAATTGCCAAAGTGGCAATTTTAATTTTAATGATTCAGCAAAAGACCTTTTGATTCAAAAAGTAACCAATGTAATGTATTTATGTTTTATAAATATTATTTTACTAGGAAACTGTTCGTAAATCTGCTGAGTCAGCAGCTAAGACACTTTTAAGTGTCACTGTTCGTCTATGTGATGGAAGTGGTACAGTTGCTACCACAACCGTAGAATGTGTGTTACCTATATTTGTGAATAATGGTACATCCCATCCTTCACATGATGTAAGAGGACTATGGTTAGTCCTTTGTTATCCATCCATTCACTTAACTTATGTCTTTGTTTAAATAGCTTGTTGAGTTTGATTAGAGTTATTGAAAAAGCTGTAAGTACATGTATATGTAGTACTGTCATACTGATGTACTGTTATACATATGCCTGTATTACTTTAGGGTTTATTACTGAAGCCACATATTTCAATGATAATACCATTATTATTAAAATCAATAAGCTCACTTGAGCCTCAGGTAAATAATTTATTAATTACATGTACATGTAGTGCTGTGTCCATGCTCAATGAAAAATGGCACAAAATTAGTAATTAACTGTCCAGTCAGTGTCCATAAACAAATTTATGCCAAATATTGCTCTATCATCTTTAATTGTAGGTGCATGTATAGTTGCATTTGCATATACATGTACATGTACATTACTACTGAAATTTTGCCTTCTTTCTTATAGATATTAAATACAGTTAGTCTTCAGTTAAATGGTATAGATTCATCAAATAATGTACAAGAGAAGTTAGACAGTATTAGAACAAAACTGTCAAAATCATCACCGTTACTAGAAGCAATTAAGCTAGTAAGGAATAAGTGCATGTACATGTAATTGTTGAATGTACACATGCAGTACATGTACAATGTACATGTACTTGCACACGTACAAGTACAGTATATGGAATGCATGTACCTTGTGAGCTATAGTCACCCCTACAAATACAGCTAAAGTGACTAATGAAGAAGGTTTAGATTTAAAGGTTTATTACAGGAATTGTTCCTTTAAGATGAACGACAGTATTATTGTCTCCTTTTATTGTACAGTATTGGACAATAAAGTATGTATACATTTACATGTTCTTTAATTCTTAAATAGTTTTACATCAAAGTTTTTGACACCTCAGTTCTTCCTGTAAATACATGTATAATTTAGCAATGATAACAAGACTGTTTTTATCCATTTTGAATGCATATCAATTATTTATTATTATTTTTTTGTTTTTGTTATTGTTATAATGTTATTGTTATTATTATTATGATTTTTCTCTTTGTGTAGTGTGTTCCTCATATTGATAAAAATGTTCTAGTGAGTTTAATTCCTCCACTTAATGATATTATTAGAAGTGGAGTTGGAGTTACCACCAAAGTAATAATTTCAATAATTAAATGTACTATACTCTACATGTACCTGTGCTTTAGTTATGATCTCTGGTAAAAATTTTAAAGCTAGTATTTCATAGCCTTTTAGAAACATTTAATTTCTAGTTATAATTTTTTAATAATTATTGTTATTTTTTCCTTAAAGGTATCTACTGCTGATTTTGTCATTGACCTGTGTCGTCACTCACAAGATGATCTATTTCCTTATGCTGGTAACAACCACTAATACGTGCACTTTATTGACAAAATTTATTATTGTGTACATTTACTGTATGATTTCTACAAAGTCAAATTTTGTATGTCCATCACTTAGGCAAAAGTAGAATTAAATTCAAATATTTTTGAATGAGCATGGTACTTGTCAGTATACATGTACAAAGTTTACTCTTTACATGTCTAGTGTTTAGTAACTAAGGAAATGAATGTGCTTTTTAGTTGTATTTTTTTTAATTTGTTAGGTAAATTGTTAGGTGGATTGTTGTCTGGCATCACTGACACTAGTATCACAGTATGCAAGAGTTATGCTAAAGCCATTGGATATGTCATTAAAGTCTGTAATGTTTATGTATGTACATTGTACATGTACATTTACTGTAGGTTGCCAAGGAAACAAGTATTACGAAACTAGTAGAAAAACTGAAAAATATGTATTTAGAAAAGGGAGGTCAGTGCATCTACATGAATTATTATTTATTCTTATTTTTATGATCTTTATTACTTCATAGATAGTTTGCCAGTTGCTTATGCACTACATGAGATGTCTTTAAGGAGTTCTGACATAATTAAAAATTATTTAATTGATGTGGTACCACTGGTGTTCTTAGCAATGCATGTTGTTGTTAATAATGAAGGTATGAGAAGTACACATAGAATAATAGTATTAATAGTAATAACATGTATAATAATAAAGATTCCTTGAAGTACAATACATGTGCATGTATGCATGCAATTGTTATATTATAAAAAATTAAGCTGATTTTAAGTTCAACTGCACTATAATTTGTAAGTTGCTTCAAAATTTGGCCAAAGTACATGTACATGTAGACATACCTAGGGTCTATTACAAAACTCAATTACAATTATGCATTCAGTTACACTCCTTTTGTAAAATTATACTCAATTACAATTACAATTACAATTACACCATAATAGTGTAATTTCAATTACAGTTTGATATACATGTATTGCAACAACATACTTCATAGTGCTTACACTGTGCTTTAAAATTTACATCAGGTACATGTAGTTATTTTGATACTTTGATAGTACATTAAGAACATTTCTTTTTGTATCTGTACATTCTGTACAAGTAGTTAGTTAACTCAAATATAATTGAAATTTCAATTACATAAGTTAATTAAAGCTCAATTACAATTACAATTACGTAATTGTGATTTTAATTGACCCTTTAATTACAGTATTGCAATTGTAATTGACCCCTTGTCTGCATGTACACGTACATGTACATTACATGCATTTACATTTACATGTATCATGCCAGTTGACAAATTAGATTATGCATCAAAAAGTTATACTTTTTGTTATTAGATCCCAATAGTGAAGTAATGTCAAATTTATGGAACTCAACATGGCAAGAAATTGTTCCAAGTAATCTGATTTCTTATACATGTGTACATCTCTCTCAATGTATTTTGTCTTATATGTCTCTTATTTCTTTTCTCTCCTCACTCTCTTTTTCTCCCTGTACTAAAATCTACACTTTATTCTTTTTAGGCACATCAACTGCTATTAGATTATATATGAAGGAAATATTGGACTTTGTTTGTCCTTCCTTGTCATCACAATCCTGGGATTTGAAGAGACAAGCTGCTAAAGCAATTGCAACCATTGCTGAAAATACAAGTCAGTGTTTAACATTATTAATAATACTGTATAGCAGGATATTATTGTGGGGATATGCTTTTTAAATCTAGTTTACATACAGCTTGTAGGGGGGTATGGTCATAGATATTATACATGGAACAGGATTGGAAACAAGGATCACATGAGCACATTATACATTGAAACCAACCTAGTTTGCTGGGAACTGGTTAATTCATGGTTATTAAGAGTGAAATTTGAATTCCGTAATGGAGATGAATGGGAATTATAAAAAATACTTTGTGGGTCTTTCTAGACAATACCCGGTGGTTTTATGACAAATTATCTAGCTCTATAGCTACTTCTTAACATCCTACGGTGGACTAGCTAAGATGTTTGTTATGGTGTGCATCTGTTAGTTTGAGAGTAATGGCATCCTGGCTTAAGATCCCTTTGTTTTAGCATGCCATAACTTTTTGAAACATTGATTTAAGCACTAATAGATGCCTTATTCCACTAATTGCCTTTGAGAGATAGCTATAAAGGCTCCTACTAGCCTGCTTTGTCGTCCGATGTATTTGCTAGAGTCCCGCAAAGTATCTCTATAGAGATACTTTGCTATTCATCTCCATTACGGTCATCAGTTCCTGGCAAACTAGGTTGGTTCAATGCATAAGGCGCTCACGTGAACCTGTTTCCAATCCTGTTCTGTGTATAATATTTATGGTATATAGTACTGTATTTCCTTGAGTAAGAGCATACATTGTACATTTAGAAATGAAGTTACGTAAAATCAACAAAAAGGCAATGATCCCTTAACCTTGGGATTTTGAATAGCAGTTAGGCTATTTAGAGCAATTTACATGTATATCTAAATGCTATTTTTGAGAAGAGGCAAAATTATAATAGGAATGTTTGATCTAAATAGGATTAGAGATTTTTGTTTGTTTTAAAGCATGCCACGTTGCACACATGGCATTAAGGAAACTTCTTTATTTATAAAAAAATATTTGTTCCACAAGGAATGAAAACAAAAAGAATGATATTAAACTTTGACTGAATATACCTGTTGGGCACTATTATATTCATAGATATTGTACACAGAATAGGATTGGAAATGGCTCACGTGAGTGCATTATGCATTAATTGAAACCAACCTAGTTTGCTGGGAACTGGTTAATTAAGATTGAGTGTAATGGAGACAAATGGAAACTGCTAATAATACTTTGTGAACTCTAGCAACTGCATCAAATGACGAAGCAGGCTTGTAGGAGCCTTTAATGCTGCCTCTTAAGGGTCTTTAGTGAAATAAGGTATTTATTAGTGCTTATACATGTATGTAGCCAAAACAAAGAGATCTTAAGCCAGGACACCATTACTCTCAAAATATTAGATATGCACTATGACCAACTTCTTTGTGCTCTGTAGGATGTCAATAAGTAACCATAGAGCTAGATACTTTGTTTTAAAGCTGTCACGTATAGTCTTGAGAGTGCAAGAAAGTATTTTTAACAATCGATCTTCATTACGAAATTCAAATTTCTTTCTTAATAACCATGAATTAATGAGTTACTGCAAACTAGGTTGATGTCAGTGCATAATACGCTCACAAGGAGGGCCTTTATTCAAGGAAATGAATATTTTTTGGGTTCAAACTTTATGGTACATGTAATTTACACATTGTGCACAAGCTAAAACCTCAAAACCTTGAAAATAAAGTTTCACAAAAGTGATACACTATTTATTATTAATATTATTATTCTGTTGTTCTTCAGATGCTGAGCTGGACTCATCAAATTTATCAATTATATTGTTGTCATTAATGGAGTCATTAAAAGGACGACTCTGGGATGGGAAGCATAGTTTATTGCAGTCCATGAAAGCTGTTTGTGTCTTGTGTAAGGATAGTATCATGACATTGGATAATCCACAGCCTTTGCAGGTATTAAAGTACATGTACTTGTTGGGTGTGCACATGCATGGAAATGCATTTACATGTTTGTATCACAAAATTGAAAATTTTTTGAGTCATTTTTGATGAATCACATGTACTAATCTTCTAATTTACATTACATGTTTTTGCCAAATTTTAAATTTATTACTTAAAAAGATATTAAAAGTTGATTTTAGTTATGAAACAATAAAGATTGTGTGAACAAGATTGAAATTTAAAATTGAAAGAAGCAATAATTATTATTTCTGTGTTTGCACTGTGTACATTATGAATAGTAATTTAGCTTTTGAGCATCTTTTTTTTTATTTAAAAATCTACATCTTAACTATTTCTTATTTTTATTATTATAGATTGTGGAGTGTTTGTTGTCTCAGTGTAAAAAACAAGATGTATTATACAAAATGATTGCAGTTACTGCCACTGGAGAAGTTATTGAATCACTTGAAGTTAATGCTTTTAGTGATATTTATGAGTTAATTACAACTGAGATACTTGATATTGATCAGGATCAACTACATGATACTGATTCTAACACTGTATTTGATTTGAAATCTGCAGCGTTTGAAGCACTTGGTCGTTCGTGGCCTAGAGGAGTCCAGTCAACGCAAATAAAATTCCTGCACACAGTTTGCAGTATTTTATCTCAAAGAATGAAGAAAAACACATGGAAAATACAGTGCTCAATTTTAAAATCATTGAATATTATTTTCAAAAGGTAATGCATGTATATTTGTAAAATTTTTATTTGTAATAATGATAGGACTACTGTTATGCTGTCAAGTGAATGTGTTGAGCTATTTAATAATGAATTGTTATTATCAATAGCTGATTGTATTAGTAAGTGTATATTCATTATTATTGCTTTGTTTTAAATTAAAAACATTAATGATATAATATTTAAAATTGTTTTTGATTTCAGAGAATAGACGATATTTATCAGTCAGAAAGGAATCAGTTTATTGTCTTCTTCAAATTGTCAGTTACTTGAAAGGTATTAGGACAATGTGATAGTATTGATTTATTGTGAGCTACATACATGTGCAAATGTACATGTATAATGTGGAAGCTAAATAAAATTAATGTAGAAATAAAAATTTTAAAAAGAGCTTTGTGAAGCCCATAATTTTGGCTATATTCAAAGTACTAGAATAGTGTGAAACATTAAGTGACTTCGCCCCCTTGCCATGCACAGTAAAGATGAACAGTTACAGTACATTTACAATTGTGCATGTACAAACATGCTTACAAACAGTTCTAAATCAGTAAGAGCCTTGCTTAATTATTTTTTATGTTTGCTAAATTTTATAAAGACTCAAGTAGTATAATGAAAACTTAAGAAGTTTTCACAAGAGCACTGTCATTTTGCTCAAAATTTGAATGCTTAAATTTTTTAATTTTTAATTTGATAATTTGAATGGTGAATACTGTTATAAACGATTTATTATGATTTCAGTGTTTCTGTGTAGCTTCATTTCAATAAACAGTCAGTTAAAGTATTTTTATCATTTTTAGTTCATAATGTGTTGAATGAGGTGCATGAAGACAATGTTACACAATTATATGAATCGTTAATGATGATTACTGATCCTGAAATACAAGACACTGGAATTAAAATTATCAAAATAATTGGACGTTAATAATTATTGTGATCTTTATTTTAACATGATTATGCTAAGAAAAAAATTTCCTGATTAAATTTGTGGGTGTGGCGGATGTGGGTCGAGCTATGTTTCTGTTCAAGATGTCTAAAGTCCCAGCTCTGAAGAGTGAATAGAAGGTCTAAAACTTGTACTGTATATGTACGGCAAGAAAGGGACAAAGAAAGATTGGCAAAAGAGGCAGAATTTAGCAAGAGATGGATCAAAATAAAGAGCTACAGGAATTAAAATCAGGTCAGTGACATGACCAACCTTGCACAATTCAAAAAAACCCGAGGGGTCCGAAACGGCCTCCAAAAGTGTACCAGATTTAAAATCCACTAAAATTTTGACTGGATATTTGGATTTTTTTGGATTGTTGGATTTTTGGATTTTTTTCTTGGATTTTTTAATCATATAACATTAATAAAATAGTATCCGCCATGTTATTGAAGTTAACTGACCATTAGTTATCTTAATTAACTATTGATAATGGTTAGTTAACTATTAATGATGGTCAATTAACTATTACAAATTACCACCCATTTAATAATAGCAGTTAATTAACTATTTTTAATGGTTAATAAATCACAGACAGTAAATCTTTGAATATTGTGACTGGATTTCCTTGGATTTTTTTGGATTACTGATTGGATTTTTGGATTATTGCAAGGATTTTCTGGATTACTGGTGGATTTCTGTGGATTATTGAATTTTTATTGGATTATTGGATTCTTTTACTGGATTTTTTGATTTTTTGGAAAGTGTACCAGATTTTTCTTCGTTGCGGACCCCTCAAAAAAACCTCAGGACATAAGACACAGTGAAAGGCAAGCCCTAGGAGTTCGACACAGGCTCAAATTTTATACGGAATGTTTGGATTACTGGATTGCAGATAGTATACTACAGTACAAAAAATGCTTGTATAACTCCAAATGCTGCCTAAAATTCTTTAAATCTTTGATTCCGAGTCTTAAATTCCTCTGAATTCTATTTGGATTCCAAAAAGTGTGTACTTAATGCCAACTTGTGTCAAACCATGCAGGCAAGCCTAAATGTATAAATAAAAAACATTAAAAATTGGAAAATAGTAGGATTGAATTGGAAAAAGTAAGGAAACAAGAGGGTACTTGCAAACTGGTGTGGTAAGAAATCCTACACCACTGC